AGCTAACCAAAAATCCTAAAACTTTCGCTAAAAAAATGTTTTTATCATTCCAGTACAACTATTTGAAATTTTTTGCCGAATATATGTAGTTATCACCGAAAAATGGCGTACGTATACGGCGAACTTTTTTTGTTTGCTTGGAAGGTGGTACGGTCTAATGTACATACATACATACATACATATGTACATTTGTGTGCGCAAATGCACGTACACTCAAAAATTTAGGTTAATATCAACGATAAAATATTTTCGCACAAAACGAATGTTGTTGCAGCAGTTGAATGCTGTCGAGAATGCAGAATGCAGGGTGGATGTATTAAAAGCTGTTAAAATATTTGTTTGATGGCATCTTTAAGATGTTGTAAACTATTTTTATTTACGCGAAAATCGAGTAAATTTGAAATAATAACTCGAGGTTTAATTACTGATTGCTATTTCGTTCGTGGATTGTGAATTGATGTGATTTGAATGACTGGTATTTTATGTGAAATAAAAAAAATATATGAATAAAGCTCAAAATTACAGGAATAAAGCAAGAAAAGAATAAATTTTAATATATGATAAACTGCCGATAAATGTGATTAAAGTTATAAATTCCAAACAAATTTATAATTTTATCACGTTTATCCCAAACGGCCCAAACTTCCAAGATTTCAGTAGTCTGAGAACATCGCGTACTCCGACAACACATGAATTCAGCTTTCTGTGTTCGCCACACAGTTGCGCCCCTGTGAATTGGACGAGTACTTTTTATGCAAAAACACATACAAAGGCCCCTATTATGTCAGCAGAGACCCCAGATACATTCATCCATAACTAAAGCAGAGTCCAAATGTATGTATGTACTCATTTATTAGCTCACTATTGTCCACACGCACAGTAGTTAAAAATTGGCATTTTGTGTTCACAATTTACTGGAGCCTTCATTTTTCACTCAATTTGATTAATTTTGCAACAAACAAGCTGAGACCGTTTTTTTGAATTTTTATTTGTTCGTATTAATTTTTTTAGTGCAAAGTGCAGAAAAAGTAGCAATTTTGAAGAAAATCGATTCTCCTGTGCCAGTTAATAAATGGTACATCATAAAAACTAGTTGAAAACCATTTTAGGACTATCCCAAAACGAAAAAAATAAATAAAAATAAATTAAATGTTATAAAAATTTTTCACCAAAATTATTATTTTTTGTTTTTATAAAAACTTTGGTTATGCAGTTTTATAGATTATTAAATTTTAGTGCGTTCGCGTTGATCTATAAAACTGCATACCCCACATTTTTCTAGAAAATCAATTTTTTTCTTTGATTTTGGTGAACCATTTTAAACATTTCAAATTTTTTGTGTGAAACTTTTTTTCGTTATGGGGGGACCCTACCACTGTTTTAAACTAGTTTTCTTCAAAATTGCTACTTTTTCTGCATTTTGCTCTAGAAAATTTAATACGAGCAAATAAAAATTTGTGAATTGTGTGAACACTAAATTTCCGTTTTTTAACCACTGTGCAACGTTTTGAACCACTAAGCAAACTAGGTTTTAATATCCCCTGTACATGTGCGTATAAAAATTCCCAGTTTATGTATTACTAATAATAATTATTATTTTTTTTATATATTCTGCAACAAAATATCTATAACCCGTGTTTGGTTTCAAATTCGGACAAACTAGACATCTTAATCAGATTTTTTTTAATTGGATTAACGATTAAATTTAATTAGTCGTAATCACAACCGACGATTAACGATTACAAAAATTTAAGCATTAATCGTGCGGATGATTACGATTAATTAATGTTAATCGTTAATAGCGATTAGCATTTTAATCGTTAATCAGATTAACATTTTGTCAACACTGTTTGCAAATAATATCACTTTGAATTTTGTTAATATTCACGGTTCACGTGGTCCAAAGTTCTCCGGTAACATAATATGTAGTTACATCAAAAAAAAAAAAAAATTCCAATGAATTGATAACCCACCTCCTTTTATGAAGTCAGTTAAAAATGAGCCTTAAATAGTATTTTTCATATCGTCGATGCCTTAGCAAAATCGCCAATCGACCAGTTGCAAAACCGCCTAAATCGCCGTTGTGGCAAAATTGAGATTTGGTAACCCTGAACTGCAGGCATCGAAATTTGTGCATAAAACTCGTTATTAAAACAACAGATTTGTAAAATAATGGGCCGTATGCATAAAATCAAAGCAGACCTTTTACTCAATTTGTTCAAACAAATTTAAGTGAAAGGTTTGAAATGTTAAGAAAAAGCAATAGCATCGTTTTTATGCATACGACCCAATATCTAGAGAAAATAACGCATCCCAAGCCAGTGCCTTGAAAGAAAAAAAGTTGTTTTGCTCTCCTGTAAAATTTCAGTGCCGTAAGATACAATTACAGATTACAATAATTTTTTTGAATATTCAAAAATGCATTTCTAACGATCTGTTACAATATGGATCATTTATTTTTTTTTAAGTCTTAGATATATTTACAATATTATTGGAAGTAAAGATGTATAATAGTAGTATAATAAAGGGAGGTTGGTAGGTATGTATGTATGTAGGTAGGTAGGTAGGTAAGTAGTATTTATGTAATATTTATCAAAGCAAAGACAAAGTAACGTGGTTTTGACTTTGCGCATACAATACATAGTATGTGTTCTACGTATGTATGTATGTATGTATATTAAGTAGAGCTAGGATATAAGAAAATTTTAAACTAAAATATGCATTTATATAATATATGTATGTAGGTATGTGTATATTTAAAATTACTTAGCCATTCTGTTCGACAGACTAACTGCTTAAAACTTGTTTCATTTATTTATTTTTATTTTTTTTTCTTACTATTTTTTAATATTTTCTGATTAAATTTTCGATTCGTGCAGCATCAGCATTATTTTTTAACTTAAATTTCGTAATTTATTGTGTTTTTTTCTTCTTTTTTTTGCTCGCCTACATTTGAATTACTTTAAAGTTTTAACGCGTATGCATATTTATTTATTTAAATAATGTTTTTTTTTTCAGTTGGTTTTTCCTTTTCTTAGTTAGGTTTCACTTAATTTTATATATCTCATCCCTCCGAATATGACGACAAACTACTGCGCGTGGAGCCGGTAAAGTGATCACGCTGTAAAGTATCGGACGGCATGGGTACTACCAGTGCACCGCCATACAACAATTCCATTTCTTCCAATTGCTGTGCGAATGTCTCCTCCAGCCGCTAATTTAAATGAAATTCAAATCAAATGGTAAAAAGAAGATAAACGTGCCACAACAAATGGACAAGATGAATATATGATTGATATCGATTTGAGACGATCGAAGAAGGATTGATTATTATTATTGAAAAGTGGGATTAGACAGAGAAAGTATGAGAGTGAGTGAAACAGAGTTGGTGCGTGAAAGATGAATCGAACAAAGCCCGCGGAAAGACGTAAATTAATAATAATTGAATTATGTCGATTATGTATTTATGTACAGTTATTAGCGCATGCGTTCATATGTTAGAGTATAACTATGCACTTGTTGGGTTATGGCATATAAAGTGCAGTTATTAAGACATAAAGCTAAGCCATTGTTTTTTTTTTTAGTAATTGCTGAGGAGAACTCAGTTTATTTTTGTTTTTGTTATTATAAAAAATAATGTTACATATGCATAAAGTAGCGCATATTCTACCCCCTCCCTCCATATCTCTGTACGTGTTGCTTGCAATTAATTTTTCTTTTACTGGTGCTAAGAAATTGTAAATTATTTGGCCTTTGGATTATTGTGGTATGCGTGTATTTGTGTTAGTATGAAAATATACTTTAAGTTTAATATTAATGTCTAATATATATTTTTATTGTTCAAATATGTGCTATTTTTTTGTCTACAAATTTATAATTTAAAGCTAAGCTTTTTTAATTATTTTATTTATTTTTCTGTAATGCGTGTATATTATAAACACATGTATATGTATTATTCCGTATTATTAATAGCAGCAACGCAGCTGCAGCAAAACTTTGGCAAGATTGTATGGCAACGAAAATTTTCATATGCATCACTTTGTAAATATTATGATTTTCAAAATAAAAAAGCAAAAAACCAATCAAGGCGAAAAAATTTTAGAGACTTGCATGTGTTTTTATATCCTAGGACGGTTAACAATCTGCTGAATGACAAATAAATTTTTTGTTTCACTTGTTCTATGCATATATTTTCTTTTTGTTAAAAAAGTGCAATGAAATGCAAAGTGAGAGTAGTAAAATTAGTTTTCTCATACCAGGAATGCCGAAAATAATTATTCTTTTTTGCATTTTGAAGTTAGGCTTCGTCAGTTGTACATACGGTGGCCGGCAGACAAATAGGGTGGCGACATTTTAACAAGCTTTGACTATTTTTCCTTTGTTTATTTTATGTTTATTATTTTTTATAAAAATATAGGTCACTATTTAACCAAACCCATGTAAGTCAAGATTTCCAACTTGAGCGTGTGTGAATCGGTAACAAAGTTCGCGGCGAGTTTGACAACTATGAGGTGAATAAAATTTCAGTAGCTTATGAGGCTAGTGAAATTTTTGACAAATGAATAGACAATTTTGACAATCGCAAAGATTGTTGATTTGTGTAATTTTTCGTTAAATAAAAGCTTAAATTGTTGAACTACCATCAACGATGGTAGATGTTTTCTTAATATATTAATTTCACTTCAATTCGTAATATTTTATGCTGTATAAATCTACGGTTATCAAAAATTTACTGCTGTCAAAAAAAGGATTTAATTTCACACAGCAGATTGGCAAAACTGTCTCACCATAGTAAAAATATTATTCAACAACTTTCCCCATAGAACTTTGTTACCGATTCACACACGCCCTTTGTACAGAAGCTAGGAAAATTCGACAAAGTTTCATCAAAAATTTGGTATGCAGTTTTGTTCGTCACGCGTTTATTCCATTCAAAGTGTGTTTGACAATTTTTTTTTTATATGGCAAATGCGTGATACCGTCAGCAAAAAAAAATAAAAATTACCAAAAATCAACGGTAAATCCTGGGTACTTGCATCTTAGGGTACTAAAATTTTATGAGCTAAAAAACTGCATACCTCGAATTCTGATTAAAAAGTTTTAAAATTTTTATGAAACTGTCGTATGCGTATTTTCCTAATTTTTGGACAAAGTTAGAAATTCGGTGTTCCATCGTTTTTGCTAGTTAGTGAGCTATACACTCATAAAAAATATTGTAAAATCATTTATAGTGAGCATGAAAATTAGTTTTGACTGTTTTCTCTAAGACAAGTATTTAAACTTTCCTATTGGGTCATTGCTGGAGCTTTCTGAGGCCTATTTCATAAAAGTGACAAGTGCGACAATTGTCAATTTTTCTATAAAATTTCACTGCCAGAATTGTCGGCGATATTTTTCCTGTTTCATATACGTTTGTAGGCAACTGTGAAAATTTTTGGAAACCGACAGTGATAATATGGAATATTGTCGACAAATCTGCTGACAATTGTCACTCTGACATAATTTTCGCGACAATGGCGACAAAAGCAAATAGCTCCGTCGGAAAGCTTTCACATGAGAGTTTTGTAAATTTATTTATATGGTAATTGCCCGCATTTCATTACTTTTCAAAAATTTGAATTTTTCTTAAAACTAAAATAATGCACATGCAATTATTACATATGATTTTCGTATAAATTTTATATGACTGGCGACAATTTTAAACCTCGTCAATCACAATTTGCCACTTTTTTCAAGGAATTTCTCATGGAATTTAAGAGGTGGTGACATCTTTTTTATGAAACAAAACACCTACCAAACCGTCGAATTGTCACTGACAACATGGAAAATGCCTGTCGTTACAAAATTATTACTGTCGCTTTATGAAATAGGCCCCTGGATTGTTGGTTTGTATTGCATACAACCGATATTGCATGACAATTTGGCGGTACAAAATTTGTTCCTACAGCGTCTGTTCAACTTACGGAAAATGCTACTCACTGAAGTAAATAGCAGATCAAAGTGCTAGCAAATTGCCAAAATTCGCAAAAAGAATGCATTATGACCAAGATTTAACTAACGCTAAGATCCAACTAAAGATCTATGTGAGATTTAAGCTAACCTAGATCACGTAAGTTGTTCAAAAAAATGGTGCAGAAAAAATATGAAGAAATTCTATCGAGTTGCGTCAAATGCCGTGTATAACCTATACAAGCGTGAAAAGTAATGGATCTAAACAGCAGTCGGCTGTGTGATCTGTTCAATGTGAGCCTAACCAAACAAACAAAAAAAATTGGTAATGTGGACAGTACCTTCAAAAAGACGCAGAACAAACATTTATTTGTCAGAAATCTTTACACAAATAAGAAATAGCTCAAGACGAGGAATCATTAGCGCCAAGCCAATGCGATACCTCAGACAACAGCTCAAGCGAGAACATGAAATTATTGGCTCATCCACCGCAGAGTACTCGTTTGGCACACAATGACTCCTTTTTGTTCTTTATGTTGTTATAATAAATAAATGGTTTCAAACTATCAGGTTTTCTACTAGTCGAAAGCTTTTCGGATCGAAATATTTCTCGTTCGAGACCATCTAAGCCAGTGTTGGCAAGCGAAAGCTTTTATTTTGTTGTTATCCATTCATAAATTTTAAAGAGAGCTTTTAAAAGCTTTAGCTAGCTTGCTATGACGTGACTAGTTGTACTCGTAAAATCTTCACAATTTAACTGAGTTGTCTAAAATATTTTTTTTTTAGTTTCAACTTTTCCAGTCTAAATAAACACATCGCATATTCGATAATAATAAATTAAACAATAAAGGATTATGCGGATTTTAGGCCTTTGAATTTTTCTACGTGTTTTAACTCTATATATCAAATTTTATTGGGATTTTATCCTTCCACGGCAGTTAAGAGAATGCGGAGCAGATTTTAAGTCAAATAGAGCAGTTGAACTTAAAACATTTTTAAAAACCAGTGTAAATCTACTCCGATCGGAGCTAAGTCCGAAAGCTTGACTCGTTTAATAAAGTATGTCATCTTTTAGACGCAAAACTGTTCAAGTAAACAGCTTCATACCAAGAATCCCAGAGATTTTGAAAACTGCAAGTCTCTAATATTTTTAGCATGATTCACGATTCATATACATACTTCTTCTAACATTAGCATCAGTCCCATCTAGGAATGTACGTTTTGTTAAGTGGTAAGAATGTCTAATGCTGAATCAGGCAGATTTTTTTTTAAATAATTTGCTTGAAATGTGTAATGGAAAAAGGATATATGTAGTTATCTACTTTCATCTATCATAGCCGTAAAAACTCTCTCTGGGCAGTAGAGCTAGAACATCGCGTTTAACTTTGTCCTTATTTTTTGCAATTTCTGCTATTTAAATGGTGCCAAATTTAAGAAATTCTTATAAATTCACACACACAAACCCACATATGTATGTATTTACACTTAGATGCCATGTGCTGATTATGTGCCATGAGATGCTGGTCAATATAAACAAACAAATGTGGAATGTGAGCGCAAATACAAAGACACTTATGCCTCATTTCCACTTGGATAAAATGTTTAATGAAAAGCTGGACATTAAAAAATATCCCTGTGATTGCGTTAATAAAAGTAGCTAATGCTCTTAGCATTTCCACAAGTGATTTTTTAAATGACACACATTTTTTGTCCATTTAATGCCTGGTGGAATGCGGCATCATATGATTATGGTATTTATATGTATATATAAAAGTAGATATGCAGTTGGAAGTTAGTATAATATGTACATTTGCAAACCAACAAACTTTTTTACATTTTCTCATTAAATGGCAATGAGATTTTTTGCTTCCTGTTTCAATATTTTCAGTGTTTTGGTTTTATTTGTGTTTAGAATCATTTTAATTTTAATTATTATTTTTTCTACACGGGCACCCCTCTAAGCCAGTGAGTCCTCTTCTAAAGGACTAGTTGGTGCACTTCTCTTCGATTTTTTATCTGCTATACCAATCCGTGGTATGGTATATTTTACCTCTTCCACATCCAAACTATTTACCTCCTGCACACTGCCCAATTTGATGGAGGCGCGCAAGGAAGGTTCAATACTGTCAAGTAGAGCGGTCGCTTTTTTGGCTGGCAAACGAAAATCAGGCTCAGCGCGTTCAGTGCTCAAGCGTACTGTGCCCTCATAAATGTCATAGAGCGATTGCGTACTGCCTAACGAGGAGCGACCCGTACCGTAGAGGGAGGGCCGCTTGATAGCAAACGATGAGGAATATAATAGGTTTTGCGCTTGCTGACGCAACTCTGGTTTATTGGTTATAGCAGTTGTTGTAGTTGTTGGCTCATCAGTTTTTAAATTGTCTTTTCTATTAAAACGATTGCTTACAATATCAGCAAATGGTGTGGCATATGTAACTGTTGAGTCAGTGTGCCTTGACGACGGTGGCATTGTGCTGCGGAATGTGGAAAGCACTGGTCTCTCCGAGTTCGCTTGCCGATTGGCGCCCAGTGTGGGAGTATGTATATGAATTGTGTTCACTTGGCCGGCATCACTTGACGACACACCATCCTTGGCGGCGGCGACGGCTGATGGTGGTGTTGGCGTTGCTGATGGTGCTGCTGATGCTGCTGCTGCTGCTACTGCGGCGACGGAGGCGAAACGTGGCGTTAGCACTCCATGTGCCTGTCGCAACTCAACGATTTCATCCGTAAAACGTTCATCACGCAGTCTGGGTGTTGTGCTGTCCAGCGCTAAACTATCACTACGCTCTTTCAGTTTACCAAATTTTCGAAATATGGGCGTGTTGGGTACACTGCGACTCAAATCGGGCGTGGAACCGTGGAATTTGGCACGCGGATCTGATGATAAGGAGAAATAGGTGCGCGAACGCAGCATCTGATTTTCACTAAGGAAAAGACCACGCGGCAGAGAGCGTGGTGCATCATTGAAAAATCCACGCAGTTGCAGTGGCACCTCAATATCTTTGTGAGTAAATGGCACACGATCGGGTATTGGACCGTACTTTTTCTCAAAACGCTCGGACATTTCGTTAAGAGTATCGATAAGCTTCTAAAGTAGGTCTCAAAGTTAAAGCAGAGCCAGAACCAGAGGCAAAGCGTAAACAGCGTAATTACCATTCCCAAAAAGTTTTGTTGCGAAATAGTTAAAAGTTTTTTTTTTGGCATTTGGCAGGAATGCATGCAATTTCAGCATATAATGATTAGTAGTATAAATTGGTTGGATTAAATTCAATACCATTAATTATATCCAAAAGTCAAGCCATATAAATGTAGCGGTTAAAAGAGAAGAGGATACAAAAGAGATAAGTCTTTAATTGCAAGGTTTTGACCTTAACAGTATTTAGGTAAACTTTCGTAAAGCTTGGCAAGGTTGGCGTAACTTAAAATAATAACAATATAATTCAAAGGAAAACGAATAGCAAGAATAGTATTGAAAATATAAGTAAGCCAGACAACGCCACCGAATATAAAACACCGAAGACAGCATTGAGTTGAGCGCAAAGCAAGGGGATATCAAAACAAATGAAAAGTTAAAATAAACGAAATGAAAATTAGCAAACATTACGCTGATTATTACAAGCTTGTGTTACAAAATAAGGGGGAGGGGGAGAACAAGCAAACAACTTAACAAAAGTTTCGTAGCGCATTCGTTGCAAAGCCTCACGTGATACGAATAAAGGTGTTTAAGATATCCATATATTTTTGTATGCAAGTGTATTATACAAAAAAAAAACTAAAAGTTGACAGTGTAAATCCATTAAAAATACCAAAAATCAATTACACATACATACATAAAAGTTTAATAATTTTTTGTACTTGGCAATGCATGAATGCTTAGCTACGAAATTTGCGCTCAGCTCAATGAATATTGTCTTTGCATAGAAACCCAAAGGGAACAAAATAAAAACAGCTACGGTGTTATCATAATAAAACTATTTACATTCAATTTGAACGACTATTTACCTGCTTTCTAGGTACTAATTGCTCCTTCCATTCACGCAACTCTGCCTTTAAACGCTCGTCGATATCTGTCAATTTGGCATGTTCGTGTTCGACCAGAGCTTTTCGTTTCTCATTCTGCAACTGTTCTAATTCTCTGTAGGGAGAAAAAAGAAATTTGGTTACTAAAAAGTTCAGTTCTGCCAAAGCAACAGACAAACTGATCAAGAGATAAAGATTTGTTATTGTCTCTTGAAAAATATTGCTTGTCCTTACTATTTATACATGAAGAAACGCACAGTTGTTGGGGTTAGTATTTGCTCTATATCAGTGTCGGGCATTTTTAGCTTTCCTATTCACGCATAAATAGGTGTCTGGCAACGTCGCTACTATCAGACGTATACTATAAACTAATCAAAGCTATTGCTGTTAAGCAAAACTGTGCTGCAACACACAATTCGCGATATGTGATAATGTGAGTGTGGCCGACACTACTATATATGAATAATACCTTCCCTTTTGTAATATAAGAAGGAGTAGTTCAATGGTTTTGTAGTCTTTTAGCTTACCTTATCGCCCCCTCACGCGTTGCGCGCAATTCCTCCAACTGTTTTTGATGTTTGATTTCGAATCGTCGCTCCTCTTGCGTATAACGTTTCTTTTCTTGCTCTTGAAACTGCAAAAATAAAATTTACATTTTATATTGCATAATTTTATTAGGCCTGCCAACTTACCTTCTTAAGTCGTTCCCTTTCGACTTCCGGATCCAAATTTGTTGATATACGCAAAGATTCGCGGAACATTAAATCGCGTGCCTTGCGCTCTGCGCGAATTCGCTTCGGCAACGCTCGCTTCTCTAAAGCTTGCTTTTTAATCATATCCTCCTCCTTGCGTTGCAACATTTTCTTCACCTGATCCAATTCCTTTTCGTGTCGCACAATCATCTGATGGCGTTGCATAAAACATAATTCTTTTACATGCCGTTTGGCTAGCTGATGACGTTCATGCAATTGCTTCTCTTCCAGCTCCCACAGTAGTGCTTCGCGTGTACGCATGGCATTTTGTTTTTGCTGCAGGAAATTACGATTAATTGTGGCAAGATGATCGCGATGTTTTTCGCTTAATCGTCGCAGAAGCAATTCATGGCGTTCTTTGAGCGAATCTAGGAAAGCCCGCTCCTTCTCTTCATGATCCAGTTCCATGGCGGAACGTCGTTGTTTGAATTCGTCTTTGCGTTTATCTTTGGGCAGCAAATCTACTTCTTGTTTCAACAGACGAATTTCTTGTTTCAAATTTTCACGGAAGATTTTCAATTCTTGCTCTTGCTCGGATCGGATGCGCTTCGATGAAGTTCGCAGCTGTGCAAGAGAGTAATAGAGAATGAAAGTAATTCATAAGTAAAAAAAAAGTACGAAATGTGATGAAATATTTTAAGGCAATGATCAGTGGCGGCAAGTCAACGATGGCCTCCAAGATGATTTCTATATATACGTATGAGTGCAATTTTTTTCTACAGTAATCATACTTACTTCATGCTCCTGCGCTTGTTCTGTCTTCTCAATTAGTTGCTTCTGTTGTCTTGCCAAGGTATCCATATCGGCTTCATAAGTCTTCTCCAGCGAAATTCGCTCCTGTTCGAAGCGTCGATCCTGTTGCTCTCTAGCGATTTGTTCCTTTAATTGCAAATCGTTTTGCTGCTTCTTTTCCTGTTTCTGCAACATTTTCAATTCTCTTAGTTCTTGTTTGCGGAACACATGATCATCATAGAGCCGTCCAGTCTCTTCGTCACCGTAGATGACACGACTTGTGGTTGTCGTCACTTGTACACCATCGATCTCGAATTTTCGCGTACGCTTTCGCGTTTTCTTACGCAAATTACGTAGTTCGATTTCTTCTTTAGTCGGACCGGGTGGTGCTACTATTTTCGGTGATAATGGTCCTTGCTTACGACGTATGACAACTTCTTCATCTTCGGGTATCTTAGTGCCCATTATGGGGGCATCCGCCTCGTTGCGACTATCATGACTAGTTGTGGTGCCGATACTTTCAACGTCACTCTGATCAACTGTTGCGATATTCAAGCCCACAGCTCGTCGAATAACACCGCCAGTTGAGGGCAGTGAACCGCTTTCACTCAGTGTTCGTGAGTCCACTGAACCAACGCTATTATCTGGTGAGGGCCGTTTATTAGCGACACTGATGTCTTGTGGTGTGTTGCGGTTTATAATAATATTTACATCTTCTGTTGGTGTGCCGGTGATTATTTGGCCATTTTGGTGATTCTTTACATATGGTCGTTGGCTATTCAGAATATTGTTGTCGTTGCTTAATGTTGTATCGTATAGATCGCTGCTCAGGTGACTACTGTCCTTAACTTTTATCTCATCGCCTACAGTCACAACTGACACATGACTGGTATCCATCAGATGTTCGCTATGATCATGACTGCCCGTAGCTGTATTATAGGCAGAATCGTCATCTACGAAAGATGGGCTAACGATTAGCACCTCGCTTTCGTCAAGCTTACGTGCCCGTGATCCTTTACCGATTATAGACTGATTGGCGTCGGCAGCAATTTCACCCTTGTCCGTTTCTTCGGCGCCCTTCTCACTCACGGCCACTATCATGGATGACTGTCGTGGCGATATCGGCGAATCGCCAAGACTGTCGTCAAAGGAAGTGAAATCATCATCAGTCGAAGATTCTGGCACATGTGTGCTTTTGTTTAAATCATTTGAAACAATTATCACTTCGCTTTGAGGCGGTACAGCGGGCACTACAGAATTGTCAATGATGACTGGTGGATGCGTGCTGGTTACAACTCTTATTTGGCTGATACCAGCGTCCAAACTGTTGGGTTGAACGACATTCTGATGCTGTGCCTGATTGTTAAGTGAACGAGTTGGCGTGCTGGATGGCGAGGTCTCGCTATTTATAGTGATTAGTGAAGTGCTCGAGCTTAGCATGGCGCCGCTTTTTACAGACGACGAAGAAGTGGAATTCACCGAAACCGCTGCTGATGATGTAGTTGGCGAAGGCGGAGATGGCAGTGGCTGCACCTGCTCTTGTGGTTCATTAACGAACTGTTGCAGTGCTGGCGCTTGCACATCGATTTCCACATTCTCACACAGCTCGGCAGCTTTGACCACTGCAGCTGTGCGAATATGTTCGTCGTTGGCCCGTTTCTCCGGTTCAGTGTGTGCTGCAATAATTGCAGGCGGTGCTTCAGACGTTTTTGGCGCAATTATAGCAGCAGACGGAGGTGGCGGTGCCTTACCCTTTTCTTTTTTAGGGATCTGCGGGTAAAAAATTGAGAAAGAGTTTGGCAAATATAGTGGTGCGAGATATGTGTTCATTAAAAAGAAGTTGTTACTCACCTTCCTATCAGCGTCAACGCTTTTCTCAGGAAGATTATCAGCTTCAATAGCAGATGGAGCAACAACTGTTTGCTGCTTGCTAAGCGCTTCATCAGGTGAACGCGGTTTACTCGTGTCGTTTTCATTTGGCGCTTTATTAACGCTAATTTTTTGTTCATCCTCCTTTGCCCCTTTAGAAGATGATATATTGTTTTCAAGACTGTTTTGCAAAACAGGAGAGACATTGCTTGCGACTCCTCTTTGTTGTGATAGTTTACTTTGTGGTATACTATTTGTTTGATTTGGTTCTTTAGAGTCCATAGATACTGATGTTGGGGTACCTGGAACTGAAGAAATTGTATCATTTGACTACGTTTAGCGGAGTTGGCGGGTGCGGTTAGATGTAGAAAATAGAGCTTACGTTTGTCAATATCTTGGCTCTGCAAAGATGCAGAGTCATCGTCCAGGTCGAGCCGGAGCGCCGAGTTGCGGGGTTCCTGAGATGAGATGTATATAATTATACAAAAATGTAATATTTGTGAAAACAATGGAATGAGCATAAATGCAGAAAAAAACAACAAAATTGTACTAAATTGTTGTTAGTTTCTGCTTGCAACTGATATACATACACAATAAATACATCTACTACGACAACGAAAACTACAAATTAAAAATGAAACGAAATGAACGAAAAATGAGGTGTGTGTTTTTGTACTAAAGGCGATAAAGCGTAACATATTTTTTGTAAAAAAAAAGCTAGACAAAAAAAAACAGCGAGGTGCGCTTTAAAACTAGAAAGGCAAATGACAACTTAGAAAATCGCGAAATAATACAGTTTTTGTCTAACAATTTTCGTGCAAACTAAATACCGCGGATTTCTTTGGTTTAAATTTTATTATAGATTGTATTTAAAAACGAGGAAAGTTGAAAACCGAAATTTAAAAAAATTAGTTTTAAGCGGGCATTAAAAATGCAAATTCAATTGAAAGCTATAAATATAAATATATATGTATAGGGTGATTCATCCAGACCTTTTTTTAATTTTAAATAAAATAAAGGAGAACTTGATGCCAGAATCTTTATCATCCATAACCCGAAAGAGCAATCTGTGACATTTACATTTTAAAACAAATTTCATAAAAAATTTTGTCTGCGACTACGCGTTGGTGGTAATGTTGGCTTCCAGACTTGGAATCATAGCCGTCTTATCGACGAAGACTTTTGACTTCACATAATTAACCCCAAAAAAAATCCTGATGTGTGATATCACAGATAACTTGCTGTAGCCAAATGTTGCCGTCACAGGCTTCAATTTCAGTCAACAAAACCTTCATTGTCGTGGTGCGGTAGCGCTCGTTATTACGGTTTGTTCTGTATGCGGCCAACATTTGAATATTATTTTTAGAAAAATAATTATCAGATCTTCTTTCGGGTGGTAATAAAAAATCGGGCATCCAGTTCTGTTTTGATCAATTTTTTTAAATATTTGTAGTCTGCTTAAAACAAGAAAAGGCTTAGAAATTTTAAAAAGTTTCAAAGCCTTAGCTTGATATAATTTTTTTAAAAATAAAAAATCATTTAAGTTGTCTATCCACTGAATACTAATTATGGTATCTAAGGCATTCGGGTACATTTTCGAAAAACAAGTAAATGTTATCATGGCTTTGAAATGAATGTTTTCGCAATAAATGAATCGAAAGAACACAATTGTTAACAAGTTGAATAAATGCAATTTCAAATATGTAGTATGTAACATGCTACCGTTGATAATAGATTCGCTTGAATTAAAAAAAAAAATACAAAAAAGTAGTGTGGCAAACAATTTCCGACACAGTCAAGGTCGTTAAGAAGTCGTCCACCACTAACTTACCAACCCTCTGATAAAGAGAGCGCCTCTTCACTTGACGTTTAAGCTTCTAAAAGCAACAACAAAGTTTACGAAACGCACACAGACAATTTTTTTTTAGTTTTTTTTTTTTAATTTTTTTTTTTTTTCAATGTTAGCGTGCAGTTTTATATGGTACAAAACGCATTGCGCGAGGAAATTAGCAGCGTGTAAGAAATTATGTTATAATTATTAATAATCAAATAATGAAAGCAAGTGTTTTTTTGTTTGCATTTGTACATATGTACGTACTAAAATACAATAGTTCTTTGAACATAAACATTTCAAAATAATGCTCACCTCAGCATCATCGTCGACAACTTCTTCAACCACTTCAGCTTTATATTCTAATAATAAGTCTTTTATAGGTTTAGCGTCTAATTCACAATTAATGAATCTATGTTGTAATAAAATATCTGTGCCTGGACGTTGCTGCGGATCCTGTAAAGTGGGAAAGCAATACGCATATGCATAAAATGAAAATCATTGCTGAAATTTTCTGTGTGTTTGTATGCTCTCACTTTGACCAAAGCTCTCTTTAGGAACTCATTGAATTCCTTACTCCACTTTGATGGCTGATCCAATGTTGGTGGTTCACTTTTTTGTATTTTTAGTAGAACACGCATCGGTGACATTTCACTATTTGGTGGTTCCATTTGCGCTAACTCTATCAAAGTTATGCCAAGTGACCAGATATCCACTTTTAAGTCGTAAGGATTATCCCGAAATGTTTCGCAGAGCACAAGTTCAGGCGCCATCCAATACGGTGTGCCTATAAATGTGTCGTGTTTCTGTAGAGTATGCTTATTTTTGGCCGACACGCCAAAATCAGCTGTAAGCGTGAAAAGAAAGCGATGAGAAAGGTGTTTGGAAATGAATTTATTTTGTAATAACAAACCTAATTTAACACCGCCCTCCATTGTTAGTAGTACATTTCCAGCTTTTAAATCACGATGTATTACTTTATTTTTATGTAAAAAACTCAGACCTTCAGTCATGTGTCGGCAAACGTAGGCAATTTGTGGTTCCGTCAGCGGCTTTTCTAATTCCACCATTATACTGTCGAGCGCGCCGCCATCGCAATACTCAATTAACATCTGAAAATAAATAAATATTTGCAAATACAATACGATAAACACCGAAAACGTAAGTAAACGCAAAATGCTACATACATACTATATACTTATCGCCACCTGAAATGTAAAAAAAAAAACGTAACTTCGGAAATGAAATGGAAAAAGTCGTGACTAATATTTAATTTTTTTTTTCATAAAATAATGTGGGGGTTGTAATTCGATGAACACATCATATTAGTCAAGAACTGAATTTTAGATTTTTTATTCATTATGACTTTTTGCATTTCAACGTTGATATTTTTTACGTATTTTCGATTTTCAGGTGACGACATGCAGGTATGCTGCATAAGTGTTTACAATTTATGTATGTACATATGTACGTTCATGTATTCACTGCTACAAACTCACCCATAATTTATCCTCAATTGAAAACGCTTCATACAATTCTACAATGTTTGGATGTTTTATCTCTGATAAAATATCAATTTCTACCATGTGATCACTAAGATTTTCTTCATCTTCCAATGTGCATAGTTTAGCCGCTGCGAAGCGTCTATGTTCCTTATGTTGCGCTTTATATACTTTGCCAAAAGCGCCATCACCCAGCTCACCCACCATTTCCCAAAATTCCGCAGGGTCTGTGTCCATCTTGATATTATTGTAAAGTCGTTTTTTCTTCGCCTCACCACCGCCAAGGTGGAACACCTTTTTCAAATTATTTATAAACGACATTGTTATTCTTATAAACTGATTTTTAAGTTAGCTATTTATTTCCGTTGTAAGGTTAAGTTACTTCAAGGTTAAAAAAAAAACTTATCCACAGCAGTTTTACAATCCAAAGGCACTACATTTTGCTTTAAGCACAAATAATAGTTTCATTCGCCTTCGTGTATCAGCTTAATTGCTTTTCAGTAGCTAATTCCTCAGTTGAATTTCTTTTCTCTCTTCTCAAATCAATCCAAAAACATTTCCACAAGTTTATGCTCAATTTCAACAAGCAAAGGGGTCGCCCTTCTCCCGCAACTGCAGCAGTAGCCGTAGCAGTATTAGTGGTGACGCACGTGTTCCCCTACCACCGTATTGCTTTTTCGCCGTTCAATGTTCTTTACGATTTTCCTCTCTTCTCTAATTTAATTATCGGCTTTAAAATTAGGTCTTCATGCTTTTGTAAACGTACGCTTAGAACTGTAAAACCAAAGAAAGATACAATAGAATCAAAATATACGCATGCAATAAGATTAAAAAAAAAGATGAACAATTGAAATGGGTCGTATAAAACTACTCAGCAGTGTGAAACTAAAAAAAATCAATACCTGAAATTTTCTCCTAATAATCCAAACTTATAATGTTGTTTTAAGCATAAATTATGTAGCTTTAGGTCTCATAATAAAAGCTGGTGAAAGTAGATTTCGCCAAACCCTATTGCAAATTTTGTTTATAAAGATATTTAGATTGCGGAATGCCACATCTGGCACAGTGATTAGCATATGATACGGGTTTATGACTAGCTTGCTCAATTGTTTGCGAATGCTGAAACTCGCTAAATTTAAAATATTACATCAGTCTACATCATTTAAGCTGCAATTATCAAAATGCATTGTTTACTTATTAGATTTTCTGCAATATTATGTTGAAGTCGAATTAATTTGCTCTCTAATTAACACGTAGTTATGTATAACTAGGTAGGTAGATAAAACGTATTTAAATAGCCTTTTCACCGACTACACCATGCTTTGGAAATGTTTTGCCGGGGTGTTAGTTTTCGGGACAATGTCAAACTGCGGCGAGGAAATCAATTTTATGAGCGTTTTCATGACATCGACGATTATTCAAGTACTTAGTGATAATACCCGTGAGTGCTACAAAATGAAGTTATCATTTAATCATATTTGGCACCGATAAAGTTTTCGAGGTTTCGAAATAGTATTACGAAAAATCACACCCAACAACCAACCAGCCACACAAACCAGTCGATATTCATTGCATTCCTGGTTCATTCATGCACACGCAGAGGCAGCCAGTCAACCAGCCATCAGCTGCCGTTCGTTAGCCGTTCGCGTTACAGCGCTCGGCAGTTCCATTCATAGTTCGTCAAATGCTCATTTAATTAATATTACCAGCCTTTTCACTTTTTTTCTATAAAATATAAAATACTTTTACAATGAGGTACGCCGCTTATCACTACTGCTATTAGTCACCCATATTTACATTCATTGCAAACGTCGAAAAGAACACATAACTAAAATAAAATGGCGGTTACTTTAGGACTGCCAACTTTCACACTTTTCGTAAAGCTTTCGACGAATCGATATCGCCGGAATTTGTATGCTGTCAATTTATTTTTTGAAAATAAACTCTTCTAATTGCAAATAAAAATATAAGTCAGTTTATAATAGTTTAATACAAGCTTGTCACTGGTCCAACGCACACCCATATTTACATATTTCCCTTTCCGACGCAACATAAAATAGTTTAATGGTTGGCAGCCCTGCTCAAGGTAGGACAAAAAATATGATTAAAATTGGTCATGCAAAGCAATAAAATTTGCAAATTGTAGTCTTAAAATATTGAAATATTGAGTAAAGTCACGTACGTGAGTCTAGAAGATAAATTTGATAGTCTTTTCACACGAAACTATGGCGTTATAGGGCCTTGCCTGAAGCGTAAGCAATCTGCAGAGCACGTAAGAATCTCTTACAATCTACTTTAGTTAAATACACTACATTCGAGCAAATCAAATCAAAATATAAACAATCGATAAAGCTATTATTGGGCAAACCGTTGATTTTTGGGAATAAATCCACAAATCTATCCAAATATAACCCGACCGATATTAATCCAACTTACGAAGTGGAGAAGAAAGTAGAAGCAGACACAAAAGCGAAGTGAAAAAAGTGTTTCCAACTCGCATACAAACTTAAGAAATTTTGTTAAGAAACGTCAAAAGTGACAGCACAACATAAAACAAAGCGACATCTAACGACTAAAAAGTGAACATAACAGAGTTAAGGTGCGGTTAAACGTGGCAATGCAAGCGCGTTTTCTACGCATTTTATGTCAAAATGCGTAATCGAAAGTCTACTTTCCGTGTAAGCAGCCAGAAAGTCCCTTTTGCAGATTTGCAGAAATCACTTTCCGAAAAAAAGATTGCAAGGTGTAACTGCAACGGTAATTAGGCAAATCGCTTTCAAGAAATAATTTCAAGTTGATCGTTCTGTATTAGCAATTTTCATTTTTGCAGCAAGTGCTGTCAATCCCGTTAACGAACGATACAAGATCACGCAAGAAAAAGGGAATGAAAAAAGTTGATTTTTGAACGGGTTCTACGCCATCTTGTTTCGCTGGAAAACAAAAGAAAAGTAAACAAGCAAAGAAAACAAAGAAACCCAAAATTAGCCAGAATTATTGTCAGCCACATTAAATACACAATTTCTGCAAAATTATTCATTAAAAACTCTTTAAAATGTTGTCATGTTGAATTGACTCTTCTCTCTTTAGTTAAAGAAAAGTGTAAAATAGTGGTGCTTGTGACGTACACAAATACACAGCTGAGGAACCCGCTTTCGCAAACTTTTTTCTCAAAACCAGTTATAAATACATCGTCGCGTTCTTGCGTGATCTCATGATTCAATAATACAAGGTTCGATAAACTGACAGTGCAAAGTGTAACAGCTCCTGCAAACAATTTTTTAAATTCTTGAGTTTTACACATTTTTGAAAAAGATGTGCACTTGCCACTTCTAACAGCTACTTAACCACATCAATAAAGTAACTGTTAGACGTGGCAAGTGCAAATCCTTTTCAAAAGTCTGTCAAACTCAAGAATTTCCAAAAGAGATTGCAGGAGCAGTAACACCTTGCATCTGAAGTGGCATTCGAAAGCAGTTTTTATTTCTGAAAATCAAACTTTCCGATACTACTCTTCGTCTGTTTACATGGTGAATGCAGCCAAGCCCACTTTCAACTACGTTACCAGACATTTTTATGCTTATAACAAAATTATCGACCTGAAAAATTTGCTAAGCACGCTAAAATGTGCACGAAACAGTCAAAAAATGTACAATGCATTAATACTTAAATACTCCATATCAGTAGAATAAATTAATTGCACATATTTTTCGTATTTTATTCAACATTTTTATAATTGTATACAAATTCGCCAAAAAACGCCTCACACGGCAACACTCGATTGGTTTGATAGCACTTGCAGCAAAAAAGAAAATTGCTAGTGCCGCACGAGCAAATTGAAATTATTTCTCGAAAGGGATTTGCATAATTTCAGTTGCAGCTTTAATTTCCGAAACGGATTTCTGCAAATCTGCAAAAAGGTCGTTTTGGCTATTTACACGGGAAAATAGGCTTTCGATTTCGCATTTTAACAGCAAAACGCGTAGAAAAAGCGCACCCATAGATATAAAACCTGTCGATCCCATAGATATAAAACCTGTAAGTAGGATCACTATTAAGAGAATATAATAGCATAAATAATATAATATAATGCATACTTGGCGTTGTTTGAGACTTATCACATAAGGAATCTGTTAAATTAGCTTTACGTGTAAGCGGTTACTCAACGCATAGCACTTCGCACATAAAAGTGTGTTGGATTTTCTGTTCAGAATATTCGTACATACCTCAAATTTGTTATAGCCCAGTTATGCATACATTTGCACTGCTATACCATTTTCACGTAAAAATCGAAACCCACAGAATTCTTCATGTGAAGTGCTATACGTTGGGTAACCGCTTACACGCAAATAGCTTAGTTATGCATATGCATTATGTGGCGAAACTGTGTATGCATAACTGAGCTAAAAGCCGATTTAACCGATTCCTTATGCAGAGCTAAGTATGCGTACCTGAGCTATTATGCATGCTTACGTTAAATACTTATTTAACAGCTGTGCTGCCTTACCGACAGGTTGCAGTGCTGATAACTTGACGAAAATTATCGCTCTTCTTCTTGATCGGCATAAGCAAAAGTTTTCCAAAAGTCATCGAGCTGATTTGGTTTCAAGATTGGCCATTATATTATAGATAATTAATAATAAATAAGAAAAATATGCCATCCTTGGAGGTAAATGTAAACAAGGTGATTGTGCACCCACTGGTGCTACTCTCTGTGGTGGACCATTTCAACCGCATGGGAAAGATTGGCAACCAGCGGCGAGTCGTCGGTGTATTATTGGGTTGTTGGCGTTCTAAAGGAATACTTGATGTGTCCAACAGTTTTGCTGGTAAGTTAATGCCTACAAATATGTTTTTATTTGTAAATACCCTCCAAATTTCTTTAACATTTTCCAAGTACCCTTCGATGAGGATGACAAAGATAAGTCAGTATGGTTTTTGGATCATGATTATTTGGAGAACATGTACGGCATGTTCAAAAAAGTGAATGCACGCGAGCGTGTTGTTGGTTGGTATCACACTGGTCCTAAACTACATCAAAATGACATTGCCATAAACGAGTTAATACGCCGCTATTGCCCCAATTCAGTACTGGTGATAATCGATGCAAAACCCAAAGATTTAGGTCTGCCTACAGAAGCATATATTGCAATTGAGGAAGTACATGATGATGGTTCGCCCACGAGTAAAACCTTCGAACATGTACCAAGCGAAATTGGTGCAGAAGAAGCTGAAGAAGTGGGTGTTGAACATCTACTACGCGACATCAAAGACACTACAGTTGGTAGCCTCTCACAAAAAATCACCAACCAATTAATGGGTCTCAAGGGATTAAACGCGCAGTTGCATGATATTAAAAATTACTTGCAGCGCGTGGGTGATGGAAAAATGCCCATTAATTATCAAATAGTTTACCAATTACAGGATATATTCAACTTGCTACCCGATATCACAAGCGAACAATTCACCGAGACTATGTACGTCAAAACAAATGATCAAATGCTGGTCGTTTATTTGGCGTCTATGGTACGTTCCATCATCGCATTGCACAATCTCATCAATAACAAGCTGACGAATCGTGATGCAGAGGAGGGCAAAAAAGTGGACAAAGACGCAGAGAAGGAGAAAGAGAAGAACAAGGACAAAGATAAGGATAAGGATGGCAAAGATGTAAAGGACAAAGACAAGAAGAGCGATGAGAAATCTGCTAAAAGCACGGAAGATAGTGGCAAGGGTGCTAAGAAATAGGAACGAAAGAATAGGAAGAAACCACATCGTAAGAAGAAGAAGAATAAGAAGAATCATTAGAGCGTTAAAATTTTAAGAGTGGAAGCGCAAAGAAGTTTAACAAAAAACCGAAGAACTTGCAATATGACGTAGAGGAGAGTAATATGGAAAAAATAAAAAATATTAAAAATAATTAAATGCAGCCTACACTCCCTCATGTTCATGATTTTAGTTTAATGTTACGCACGTACTTTACATACAATTTAAAGCAAAAAAGCGAAAAACGAACTTGAATATCCAATAAATGTGTGCAGTGCATGTGGCACTACGAAATACACACTAAATTCCAAAATGTAAAAATGCAAAACATTTCACTTCTGAACCACAGCCGATGGTTGCGCCAGCTGGTAATTTCAATCTGCAATACGTTAAGTATAAAATAAGACTGATGTTTTGAATTTTTACATTTTGGATAATACAACTAATAATTCAACTTCATTTGTTTTTTAATGTACACTAAAATAAAAAAATAGCGAGCAATGTTTTTCTTCTACGCTTGCAGCTTAAGATGTTTTTTTCGATTAAAGCTAATGTCCATATATTTATGTGCATAAACAATAGTATAAATATAAGAAATGTTTTCTAGAAAACAACAAAATTTGGTTATTTATAATTTTTTTTTAATTTTTATGTAGCTTGTTTTGTTGTTGTAGGAATTTCTAAACAAATGAAATGAATCCTCAGAGGATTTTTGAGCATACTTTTTGCGTGACGTCAGTTTGGTGCAATTGAGCGAGAGACAAGTAAAACGCGAAGGAAAAAATTTGAACAATGCGGAAAATCTGTTAATGTCCATATTAAATGGTCCAATTTCGCAGGAATTAATAAATATGAATATGTACAAAGTTTATTTAAGAACACGCAGCAATGATTTTGTGCATGTAGCGCTTTAGCTAAGTACGATTTTCAGCACATGCCGGATGTTGGGGAAAACGCATGAAGTTATATGTATGTATGTATGTAGATATGCGCAAAAAAAAGAACTTATATGTATCCCACGCCTGCCTTTTGTTTTCACTTTTACAATTTGCCACTACACACTTCATTTTGCCTTGTAATGATTCAATAATTGTTTAAAACTACGGCGAAATAGTATTACCTATTACGGTATCCGACGGATGCCATCCGCACGAATCTTATCCGAATCACACTGTCATAACCAGAGTTGGGCATTATTCGAATAAATTGTTATTTAGATAATTATTCGAATAAAATTTTATCCGTAATATAATTATTCGCGGATAACTTATTCACGACTCATTTTTAACACATTGAGCCACCTTTTACTTTTATTTCTATTGTCAAGGATTGTAAGTTAGCTGAATTTTGTTTACTATTTTATCAAGAATACTAGCCCATTCCCTCTGGTTTCGCGGCCCCTGGTAAGATTTTTTGCGTTGGCCAATGCAAGAATAGCGTTGAAAACCAAATATGGGTAAAGTACAAATTCTCACACATATTTCTGCCAAAAAAAATAGCGCTCTGATGCTATATGCAAGAAAAAATTCCTTTCAATGTCGTGAGCTTTACCGATGGTCTTATTTCCACTTGTGAGATCTTTTCTAAGCGTGCGTAATCTTCTTCTATGATCTTGCAACTACAACATTGGTCCGATGCGTCAACCTCTAGTCTTATGTCATGTAGGC